ATATGGACCATTGATCCACCAACCACCTGAGGAATTGCACGTAATGGCCTCGCCGTGGCCTTTCGCGCAATGGGGGATGGATGTGGTCGGTCCTCTGCCAACTGCAAGAGCTCAGAACAAGTATGTGTTACTGGCCACGGATTACTTCACTAAATGGGTGGAGGCAGAACCGTATCCTAGCGTGACTCAGACTCAGGTGAGACGATTTATTTGGAACAACATTATCTGCCGTTTCGGTGTTCCCAGATCAATAGTCATGGACAATGGCACAAATCTCGACAGCAGGCAAGTAAGAAAGCTGCTGGAGGAGTATGGAATCAACCAGAAGTTGGCTGCAGTAAGTCATCCTCAGGCCAACGGACAAGCAGAAATCACAAACAGAACCATTTTCGCCTGCATTAAGAAGAAGCTGGAAGATCATAAGGGGAAGTGGTTGGATGAACTCCCGAATGTTCTATGGGCTTACAGAACCACCCCAAGGCGGCCGACTGGGGAGAGCCCGTTCGCAATGGCTTATGGTACCGAGGCAGTTATACCGGTTGAGCATTTAGTCCCCACTATCAGAAGCTTAGCATGGAGTCGAGATCAGAACGACAAGATGTTAAGATTGAACCTCGACATGATAGACGAAAGGAGGGACGCAGCGGCTATAAGGCTAGCATCGTATCAGCAAGTGCTGGCGAATAGTCACAACAAGAGAGTAAAACATAGGGATTTTGCCCCTGGCAATCTGGTTCTGAAAAGAAAGGTGGGGATGGTCAAAAAAATAATGCCACCCTGGGAAGGCCCATATAGAATTGCAGAAGTCATTGGCAAGGGGGCATATACGTTGGAAACCATGGCGGGAAGGTTGGTCAGCAAGCCCTGGAACGCCACGTCTCTGAAGAGGTACTACCAATAAAAGCTAAGTTCCGGCTTTAATTGGATGTTGTTTGTTGTCAATCAAATACGTATGAATGAGCAAGTTCCTGAAATTTACAAAAAAGAATTTTCTTTTCCAACGGTCTACTATAAAAACTTAAAGCCAAGTGGCAAGTGGCATTCTAGCCGAGCGCCAGGCACTTAAGCAAGATAAGTGGCAGCTGGCACTATAAGCCGAACGCCAGACACTTGCTAAAAACTTAAAGCCAAGTGGCAAGTGGCATTCTAGCCGAGCGCCAGGCACTTAAGCAAGATAAGTAGCAGCTGGCACTATAAGCCGAACGCCAGACACTTGCTAAAAACTTAAAGCCAAGTGGCAAGTGGCATTCTAGCCGAGCGCCAGGCACTTAAGCAAGATAAGTGGCAGCTGGCACTATAAGCCGAACGCCAGACACTTGCTAAAAACTTAAAGCCAAGTGGCAAGTGGCATTCTAGCCGAGCGCCAGGCACTTAAGCAAGATAAGTGGCAGCTGGCACTATAAGCCGAACGCCAGACACTTGCTAAAAACTTAAAGCCAAGTGGCAAGTGGCATCCTAGCCGAGCGCCAGGCACTTGCTAAAAACTTAAAGCCAAGTGGCAAGTGGCATCCTAGCCGAGCGCCAGGCACTTGCTAAAAACTTAAAGCCAAGTGGCACGTGCCATAAACAAACACACGGCAAAGCTAATATAAAAGAAAAAGAGAGAAAAGATATGTATGTACTGAAGATGAGTTGAATAGAACACAACACATAGGGAAAAAGAGTTCTGTCGTTTTATTAATATTGAACATTGAGTTTACAAAAGAGAGATGTCCATCATTACAAGAAGATATAAAATGGAAGAATTCGAAGGAGCCCTAGCTAGACGCCTCAGTACCAACAGCATCCTGGTCGTGCCGACTCGCCTCCTCGGCCCCATCAGCCGCCTCACCTTCATGAGGTGGGGAATCAAGGTGAATGACTGAATCGTTCGGCTGGGGTTCAGCGTCAGCAGTGGCTATGGAAGGAACCACGGTTGACGATTGAGGAGCGGTCAGTGGCAGAGCGGTAGGAGGAGCTGTGATGATCCTTGAGGATGCGATGTCCTGGCACTCATCAAATATACGCTCCGCTTCGGTGGGTTCTGGGTCGACATAGACCCCCAGAGGTTCGATCCCCAGATCCTTGTCTACCTCATCCGGAGTGGAGCTGGTCTGTCCCTCATCCGGAACCCGGTCGACGAAACCTTCCCGGAATCCTTGAGCATACCTAAGAGCACCGACCCTTAAGAACCGAGCGTGAAGGGCCAGCATCCCACCACCCACTCTGCTGATCGCGTCGATCAGAGCGGTACGCTCGTCCAGAGCTCTTTTTTCAAAAGCCATCCGAGCAGACTGTTCATCAGCTAGAAGGCGCTGGAGTTCTGCCTTCTCTTCTCTAATTGATTCCCGCTCGGTCTGCCAGACGCTCTTCTCAAGCTGGAGGGCGTCCTTCTCATCCTGAAGGGAATCATTCTCCTTCTTCAGGACATCTCTCTCTTGTTCGGTCTTGTCAAGCCGAACCAGCACCTCGGTATTCTTCATGGCAAGGAGGTCGTTTTCTTTATTAGCCACCTCCAGGCTGTCAGAATACTTACGGGCCCTGGCGTTCCCCATCTCCACCTGCTTCTGCATGGCCATCATCCCGAACAATGTCTGCATAGGTGCACATTAAAAACGGTTAAACCAATAGTCAGAACGGGCGAAGGCAAGACCAAGTAATATGAGAGAATTCATGAGTTAGAAAATAAAAGTCACCTCCATAGCAGATTGGGGAAAGCGGCTGAACACATCCTTCTGGGAAAGGCCCTTTGCCGCCTCAAGGTCCTTCGGAGTCCACATGCTCCTGTAATAGGCCATAGCGGTCTGGCCATCCTTCAGCATGGTCTCGTTCGGTTTCACGAACGTCCCATCCGTTCGGGTGTACCGAGGGGCCCATGGCGGTAAGCTGGGGATAGAAGGGGGGCCTGAAGCAGAAGCAGAGCCACCAGCTGCAGGAGGCCCAGAGGGAGAAGAAGCTCTGATCGCTCGGTGCAAGAGAGCACCCGGCCCAGAGACCCGGGTCCTTCTAATGAGAGGCTCCTCCTCAGGATCGATTTCACTGTCAGGATGAGGCCTTTTGCCTCGTTCTTTGTCCCGACCGCCCCCCGCAGCAGCAGGAGCTATGGTAGCTGGGGAGGACGCGTTCTGGTTGGCAGCAGGGGCGCTGGCAACAGGGTTAGTAGCCACTGCGCTCGGGACAGTGTCAGATATGGTGGCTGAAGAAGAAGCTGACGCTGGAGAGGAGGTCGCCCCAGCAGCAGGAGTGGCTGGGGGAGTATTTTTCCTCCTGCCAAAAGAGGGAATCTGAAGTCTGCTCATGTTGTAGCCGAGTGATGAGAGCGCTAAGAGGTTGTCTGAAGTGAGGAGATCTGAGCAGGAAGGAATATCGTTCAGAACGTATCTCTTCAAGTAGTTACTCCTATCCCTGCAAACACTATAGCTCAAGTCATCACAAGGAATTCCCAAGGAGCGGCATAAGAAAGTGCAAAAACGAGGAACGCATGTTTCACAGGGGCAGTCATGTTTATGGGATTTGAATTTTTTATAGGAGGAGACAGAGCAGACACCAAAGGCGCTCGGGATTGGGTAATCCTCTGCAGCTGGCGAAGACCAAGCCCCACTAATGCCCACTATGCTATCCCTCCAACCCTTTTCAGATTTTATTGTGTCAGTACATATGGACATCTTCTCGAACGGGTAGAGGTGGTAGAAGGGCTCGTTAGTACGGATCTTACTCACCTTATAGCACAGAAGGAGGTCTATGAGGTCGAGGTCCAGATTTCTGTCACGCATCAACAAGAGCATAACAGATATGATTCTAAAGAAGTTGGGGTTGACCTGCAGAGGGGATATCCCCAATCTATTGAAGACATAACTAAAGAAAGGGTGCAGAGGGAACCTAACAACATTCAATTGAAGGTTCGTGAATAAGACTTCGCCGGGCAGGAGGCCGGCGCCGGTCGTAATGTTAACGTCTTGGGGGCAAACCCTAACTTCGATGTTGTCAGGAAGTCTAAGTCTCATACGAAGAACATCCAGATCTACAACCATGGTGGAAGTGCTAGAAGAATCTACAAGAGGGTAAATGGAAGCCTGCCGAAAGTAAAAAGAACGAAACTAACCTCGGAGGACTGCAAGATCGCTGGAAGAATGACTCTTGAAGGATTTCACCAGAGAAAGCTTAGCACTGTTCTAGAAAAGAGAGAGACTTGGCTGATGATGGAGACGGTAAAGGGAAGTGAAGTGGAATTCTAGAGCATTATAAAGGCGAGGGGGCCCGAGGGCCGAAGCGTCGGGAAGGCGAGAAATCCCTCGAGCCCCGGAACATTGATTCTGGATCTGACCGTCCGCTCCCCCACGTGGTTATCTCGAGCCGTCAACATCATGATGAGACGCCATCAATAATTACCCCTTATTAAATAAGGGGCAATTATGGGGGCAGTTGAGGAGGCCCCGGATGACATGGGCCAGATCCGACTCGCAAACATAGCATTCAGTCCGTACAGCTGGGCCAGCCCATAGAAGGACACTGCCATATGGGCCGAACGAGAGTAAGCCCATCAAAGGTGACCAAGGCTTACGAAGGAATAGGCCTAGATCCAGCAATCAGTAAATATCTTGTAAATATCTTGTAAATATCTATAAATAGGAGACGGAATGAAATGGAAGGGGATCTTTTTGGGTGGAGGTGTAAGAATTCTAGAGAGAGAAAGTGGAGAAGGAATCTCTTGCATCTTCAGTTTGTCCTTTGACCTAAAAATTTAAACAGTTGAATAGGGGTTTGCTTATGGAAGCCAATAGATTTTGGTGCGCTACTGTACCAGTTGTAAATACTGCGCACTCACGAACAAATGTTATGCACACACGATTCGAATGAGCAGCACACCCAAGTAAGCCCATGATCACTCACTAACAGTGATTAAAAAATAAATCAAAATCTTTAGCTAAATTTGATTTTGATAATGGAAAAAATGAGTTTATGCAAATCGAAGAGAGTAGAAGGATTTTTATAGCCACACTATCTGCTAAATAATATGCAGTGCCAAACTATCCTCTAATATGCATGCATAGGAGGAAGGCATATCAGGAAGAAGAGACTCGGACAGAAAACCCAAACGCACATCATCAGAGACCGCTGATCCCACAGCTCTTAAATTTTTCTTTAGAGTCCAATGGATAAAATAACTTCTGTATTTATCTGTATCTAAAACAAAAACATCTTAAACATGTAGATTATACACACACAAACTGGTACTAAACTAAAACGAAGAGCAAAAAACCTACAAATCAGACCTGGAGGGTTAAGAAGCAGAAATTCTATATCACAGCTGGGAATTCAAGATTGCTACTGGTAAACTGAGTAACCGTCGTCGTCCACGAGAAGCATCCAGGACCTGCATGCAGTCATGCAAAGGTTAGACGTTGTTGCGAACTTCAATTGAGTTAATCAATTAAAACAAAGATCTCAGTTGGGGAACAAATGTGACATCCAACTCAGTGTCACAACATTAACAAAAAATGAAATAATAACAAGATTCCGCATTCCTCTGTGAATATTTATAGACACACACAAACACTATATACACATTTTATACCTATTTTAGCTAAAAATTTGGATTTTGGGTTAATAAGACATTCCCACTAAATCATCCTCTTTTTCTTCTTTTTTTAATAGAAAAGCAACTGCTAACCACCTCATATATCATATTCCCAGTATATCAAGATGCTAAAGACAAACGAATCATATCCATCTCACAACTAAACCATGAAAATCTATTGAATAAAACAATATCAAAGCTCTAAACAAAATAACTAGCTTTTTCCAAATTGAATATATAATTATACCCAGTAGTGAGATCACTAAGAACAAGAAGCAAATGATTGTCAAACTAAAATCCAAACAAATTTACAAAAATCTCTAAGTGATTGTTAAATTAGTTCAAAAAAATCAATTGAATTGGTATATATATCAAGTTTGACCAAGGCATTGTCAAGGATTGATAAAAATACAAACATTATAGAAAAATGAAATAGAACAGATCGAGATTACATTGTACAAGTATCAACGGTTATCTCATATATGCTATGTTTGTATTTCTATTGATCAAAATAAAGTTCTCTAGTGAATTACCAAAAATTTGTCTATGACCAAAAAAATAAAAAGTAGTTCTCCAGTCACTCTGTTCTAAAGGTCATACTTAAATTTCATAGGTTCAAATGATAGCGACAATGTTTCTTGGCACATTAGAGGCTCAAATAATGCCCAAACAATTTAAAGCTGTGACCTATATAAAGCATGTTTATATCTGATGAGGTCATATACTCTCAGCATTACTGAGCATTCACAACTTACTGTAAATCAAGAATTTCTAAAGCAATTTGGAGGCGGCACTAAATTCTTAGTTGGAACATATGCCCACAAATTATAAAAAAAAAAATCATTTTTTCAAAAGTTTAAGCTTTATTAAACAATTAGCACATGGCCTTGCAGCAAATAAAATACACAGCCAGGTATTCTGGTTGCTTTTTCTGTACAAAGCAATTATACTAAATAGCCCATAATTTTGCTTAAAATAAGTTTATTTTATTTTATTATTACATATCTATTTTAAGCACACTCTAATCTACTAGATTTTGGAAACTTCTTTTAATTAATAACCACCTAACATCTTTTATGTGGTGACCTGAAGTTGGACTTTATTGATTCATTTCATTAAAGAATTGTTTCAAAAACATTTGGCAACATTAATACAGATTCTAATGAGTCACAGAATACAGTAATGGCGTTGTTTACTTAGTGAAGCAACAATAATTCTTCATATAGTAAATAAAATGATTAATGACAAAGAAAAAATGACAATGGAATACGATCTCATATTTCTAATAATAATAAATAGCCTCATACGAAGACTAGAAATTTCAGTACTATTCTAATGGTGATGACAGATGGACATTTGCTATCAATCAATATAACTACACAAAGCACAATATATTTCCCCAGACCAGTTCAACATTAATAACGAATGCAGGTATTTATCACCAAATCTTACAACTCCTTTTGTCACTCCCACAGAGGAAGACAAACAACATATTTCCCATATCATTAAATGAGCTTAACACCTGAAATAACAATCAAACTTTACAGATTCCAGAGGACTGCAAGGCTACAAACTTGATAATTAGTATCAAATTAGACTTACTAAAACTCACAAATAAACTTATCAATTTGTTCTTAATACTTCGGAGGACCTTATAGTTAGGAACCAAGACTTTTTAGCTGCGGTTTCCACACGATACGGCTATGCAACTATTTTCCCCCTACTATATATCAACTCCAGAGAATTCATATTTAAATGCATATTGCACACACAACTATTCAATTCAATAAGAGAAAAAGTGGAAATTCATGCATCTAAATCAAAATATAGAAGTGGAGATTCACGCACACACATATGCAAATCAATAAGACAATAAGTTGAAACTCATGCATGTAAATCAAAATATAGAAGTGGACATTCATACACACACACTCACACATATATGCAAATCAACAAAACATAAGTCGAAATTTATGCATCTAAATCAAAGTATAGAAGTGAAGATTCATACACATAATATACATACATATATAATCTGACAGAATATATTGATACCAGGAATTAATTAATTACCATTGTTACAACACCATTCTTCAGATCCTTCTTAAGAACACCAACCTTCTTCCCCGATTCTGGCAGAAGATCAATGCTCCCACAGTACAACCTGCCATATATTCCTTGCTCCCATTCTTTCCGGGCTTCACCTTTGACGAAAAACGGTATCGTTATCAAGCGATACCTCCGCGTCCTCTTCCTCAACGCCAGGCATGTCCACTGTCACATACAAACACTTCTTCACTGCCTTAGCCTCAAACTCCTCTCTTGGCCCATAAAAATGATGTGAATTCTTAACGTAATCAACCTCTGAACACATACAAAAATTGAACAAATGTTAAACACGACACAATATGTAAAGAGAGTCAGTGTTAGTGAATGAAAAGAGCTTTCTCTGGATTATATATATACACGCATTTGAGAAGGTGAACGATCGTAACCACAAGGATGTTGCAGGCGGCGATCCTGTCAGAACTTCCGGTAGGAGTGGTGGTGCAGAAAAAGTCGGTGGCGGATCTACCGGAAGCCATTGATGCAGAGAGAAAGTAGATTCAATAAGGGTTTATGGAGGGTTTACAATGTTTGTTAGCTCAGCTAGAGAAAGAGAGACTCAAGTGGTGGTTGTGGGGGACAAGTTTGGGCGGAAGCCACAGCATCCAAGAGCTGTATGCAGTCGTGAAGAGGTTAGATATTGTGAACTTCAATTGAGTTAATCATTTAAAAAATAGATCAGCAGGGGAACAAGTGTGACATCAAATTCAGTCACAACAGAGGTTTCACTTGTCCACTGTGATAATAGAACTTAGTGTCACTACATCCAAAAAAAATGAGGTAATATGACTCAACAGCAAGATTCTGCATTCCTTTGTATATATTTATAGATACACAAGAGAAAACACTATATACACATATTATAACTATTTTAGCTTGCTAAAAACTAAAGAATCAGATCTATATTTCAAGTAAACCATTAAAAAATATTCAATAAAACAATAGCAAAGCTCTAAATCACATAATTAACCAAGACAGGCCGCGGTTTGAGCTTAGGCAAGAAATGCAAATTCTGTATTTACATGGAGGATATATACTTAGAAAGTTGGCTGAGAATCATCTGAATGATGGTTAAAATAGTTTTAAAAATCAATTGAATTGGTATATTTATCAAGTTTGAAGTTCATTTTAGTCCAAAACATCGTCAAGGATCTAAAACAATAGAAACATAATAAAAAATCGAAATAGAACAAATATAGATTCTTTGAACGAGAAGCATCAATGGTTATCTTATATAGGAATATTATGTTATAGTTCTATTGAAGACCAGTTCTCCAGTAAATTACCAAAAGAGAAAAGATAAAAAACAATAAAATAAATTAGCTCTCCAGCGTCACTGATATTCTGAAGATCATACTCAAACTTCATACGTTCAAATGATTACTACAATGTTCCTTGGCATGCACATTAGAGGCTTAAATAAAGTGTTTGCAGCTTCAGAGTCATGAGAAGGAGAGTTATAATGCCCCAAAAAATTGAAGCTATGAACAAAATGAAGAAATAAAAGGAATTTATTTTGAACATGCATTTACAAGTTTAAGCTTTAGTGACAAACTAGCTTGTGGCTTTACAAATCAATAAATACACAGCCAGACATTTTTGGTTGCTTTTCTGTAGAAAGCAACTATAATGAATAAAACAGAGTTAGCTAAAATATAAGTTCCTTGATTACATATCTATTTTAAGCACACTCAACAACTACTAGATCACATATCTACAAGATTCTGGAAATAAATATTATATTACAACAAGCTAACATCCTTTATTAACAGGATAAACTTCAACAACTTTATCACAACATTGAAAGATATATACCATAACAACAACAAATACAAAAAAATAAAAAATAAACCACCTAAATAGTGTTATTGACCATGTATATCTCAATCAAAGAGCTAGAAAATTTGACAAAGCAACAGTAATTGTTGATCGCAGTGACCAGGCCAACTGTTTACCTGATCCCGTTGATAACGAGTGGGCCCAAATAATTCGATGGACAATAAAAATATATATGGATGTGAGTTCTATACAAGACGTGAGCATGGCGGCCAGAGGACTTTATTGATTCATCTCATCAAATATTTGTTCCAAGAACATTTGACAATATTACTACAGATACAATTCCATTAGAATGAGGTATAACTCATGATTTTATCAAGCATGCAAAATTTAATGATAAAAAATATATATTTTGACGGACTCAAATTGCTAACATAATCAATAATATTCGGAATGTGTTCTTATATATGTATTGAGTAACAGATTACAAAAATGCCTTCTGTTGTTTAGCGAATGAGGTAACAATAAGTCTTCATATAGTAAATAAAACGAATAGTAAGAAAGGAAAAAAAAAAATGACAAAGGAATTTAATCCCATATCACTAATAAAATTCTACAATAAATTGCCTATCATGAAGAGTAGAAATTTCAGAGACTGGCATTTGTCTTTTTTTCCTTAGTCATTAAAGAACAAAGCACGTACTACAAAAGGAAAAGAGTGCATCCGCTCAGAATACAAAAGGGATTAAGAAATCCCACTTCCAAAATGAAGCCACAAGGAAAAGAAAAAACCATAGAACAGTCCTATTAAAGGGACAAACAAGAACTAGTCTAGACTCAGCAAACCACAAACTATGAAAAGGAATACACCATTTTTCAAAATATAAAAGTGGAGATTCATGCATCTAAATCAAAATATAGAAGTGGAGATTCATACATACATACATATATAAATATGTCACAACATATTCAAAACAGGAATTAATTAATTAATTACGATTGTTAGGACACCATTTTTCATATCCTTCTTAAGAATACCAACCTTCTTCCCCTACTGGGGCAGAAGATCTATGCTCCCACAGTACAACCTGCCGTAGATTTCTTGCTCCCATGCTCTCCGGGCTTCACCTTTGAGAAAAAGGGTGTCATACTCCATCCATACCTCCACGTCCTCTTCCTCAACCCCAGGCATGTCCAGTCTCACATAGAAAGTATAAACCCTTCTTCACTGCCTTAGCCTCAAACCCCTGTTTCGGCCATAAAAAAGATGAGCCCTCTTAACACAAAAATTAAACAAATACTAAGCACAATACAATATGTAAAAACAGAGCCAATAGTGAATGAAAAGAGCTTTCTCAGAAAGTGTGCGAACAACAAAAATGTTAGGAGTAAGATTAAACAATAAATGGCGCGCACACACAAAACAAAATTGTAAAACAGAGTAGTAAGAGTGATAGTGAACCAAAAGTGCTTTCTCGGGATGAATGTGTGTGTGTGTGTGTATATATATACGTTTATATATAAATTTGAGGAGTTGAACAATCGTACCCATAACAAAAATGTTGTGGGTATGATTGAAAAAACAACAAAAATGCAAAAGTGATATATATGCGTATATAAACATATATGCATAGTGTGCAAATCTGAGAAGGTGAACAATCGTACCCCCAAGGTGGTTGCAGGCGGCGACGCTGTCAGGACTTCCGGTGGGAGCCGTAGTGTAGAAAAACTTGGGCGGTGCGACCACCTGTGGGCCGTAAAGGTTGGTGAAGAAGAGAATTAAAGCGGTGGCTCCGCTTGCAAGGTTGCTATAAATGGCCATTGATGGAGGAACGGTGGCGGCACATGGAGGAACCACCGGAATCGGACAGTTTGGGCAAAGGAGGTTGACGAGGAAGAGGTTAATTCGATCTCGTTATTAGGGAAGCGTGAGAAAGCCATTGAAGAGTTTCTAGGGTTAGATGTGCTCCCTCAGAGAGAGAGAGAGGAATAGTTGCGCAGTTCATGAGAGATGGTGGGTCTGTGCAGTGCAATAGTTGCGCAGTTCATGAGAGAGAAAAAGAGGGGCTGAGGTGACGTGTGATGTTGGTTTTTGATTGGTTAATCAGTATTTAAATGCCTACAGTCTGATAGTTGGGTACCAAAAAAATAAATAAATAAACTACCATACATATTGTATGACAATTACAAAAGTGAAAATATATTTAGAAGACAGAAATTTTGTCTTCGAAATTGTAATGTGTAATTTATACAACAATTACAACTCATGCTGTCGATAATTTTATACATACATTCACAGGCTTCCATGAAAATATTGTACTAAAATTTGACAATAGCTTGATTAGACTATACTATAAATCTTATACATATATTGTAATGTGTAATTTATACAACAATTACAACTCATGCTGTCGATAATTTTATGCATACATTCACAGGCTTCCATGAAAATATTGTACTAAAATTTGACAATAGCTTGATTAGACTATACTATAAATCTTATACATATATAAATTGTAATGTGTAATTTATACAACAATTACAACTCATGCTGTCGATAATTTTATACATACATTCACAGGCTTCCATGAAAATATTGTACTAAAATTTGACAATAGCTTGATTAGACTATACTATAAATCTTATACATAATATTTTCATGGAACCCTGTGAATGTATGTATATATATAATAGCTAGACCTCAACGCAACTGATTAGGCTACACTATAAATCTTATGTTGCACAAATTGAGAACGTTGAACCCTTTTTTCAAGATATGTACAGACACCATATTGTATAAGTCCTAAGCAAATACTGAGTAAAATTTATTTCTACACAATCAGGGACTTCTATGAGAAAGTAAGATATTGTTTATGGCTCATTTTGAATTCGTTAGTTAAGGAAATGAGTCGAGTTCAAGTTTAATTTTTAGGCTTATGTAGTAATTAAGCAAGTCGATCTTAAACAGTGTGATAGTCTCATTTCGTGTAAGCTCGAAAATAGAAGCATGTATAGATTTATAATCACGAAATAAACTCATGTATATGTTCGTAAACTGTAGGCTCGTTTATATATATGTGATTGTTTGCAAAAATAAAATAAAAATACAATAATTTACTAGCGAGTTGAAAACGAATCCGAATCAATTTTGAACATGAGTTCAATTTGATTTCTTAAATGAGCGGGGCAAAAACAGAATTTTTAAAAGAGTGACGAGCTCGAGCTCCCGTCATGAACTTGAGCTTAGCTATAAGCAAACGAGCCCAAACCCAAGTAACCTATAGCTAGGCTCGGCTCGGAATCTGGGTGCGTTAGTCTCATCATTTAAATATTGTTAGTCCTTTGACGATTAACCATATTAAATAATAAAAATATTCAAATATTTCTAACATTACACCCTTTGATTGTTGACCCTTAATTATTCTAGTTTAGTTCAATTAATATTGTTGATTTTATCAGGATTCTCATTCAGATTTTGTGCAGTTTATGGCGTGCACGCGCGCGCGTGTATATATATATATATATATATATATATAACTTATTAGTATTCAATTTTATTAAGTAATTATAATAGTTTCATTTAAATTTCAATCAAATTTTATTTTTCCCATTAATAATCGTATGTTCCAACTGCATGGTAATTGAGAAGAGAGTAAAGTATAGTCACCCCCCACGCTAAAACGCACAAGCAGCAAAACTAGCTTCACAATGAGAGGATCCATCAATCTCTATAGTATTGAAATTATCATCCATTTTTACAGGTGAGAGAGAAACTGTGATTTAATTTAGTGAATTCTATCTAATAAAAATAACAATTCAATTGACCTAAAATGGTTAAGTTTATGTTTATTTATCAAGTAACAATTCTACTAAATTAAAATACATAGTTTATGTTTATCGTATCAAATAAATAAAGAAGGTTAAGTTTATCCCAAAAATGAAGCCACCAATGCTATTAAAACTATCTTACCGATAAAGTTGAAATGGAATACAATCTTATGAATAAAAATAAAGTACAGTACAGTGCAAAGTGTAGGGAATGTTAAGAAAGAAAATAATTCATACAATTGAGTTGAATGTTAAAATACAAAATTATTCTTTTAATTTCCTTCATCAAATTATCATTAGAATGTCACCTCAATGGAAGAGCCTTATTAAGAATTTAATTGTCATTAAAATTATTCAAAAAAACAATAATAATATATAATAAGAAGAAGAAAATTATAAATTACAAGAAGAAATTGCACTAACACATGAAACTTTAATATCTTTCTGTCAGTACCTCGTTCTTCTCTCATTTCTTTCTTGGGGACAATGAAACTAACCTCATACGTACAATGTCTATAATAATTAATAACAACACATACTATCAAATTTGTGATACAAAGACGTATGCCGTTGCCTTTTTGATAAACAATAGTAATTCCCATCAAGGCTTTCACTAAAGTGTCCCATACGCTAAAATCACCATAAGGTCCATAAATTAAGTAATTCTCTAAACACGTAATACAGTATTCGATAGTAAGTGATAACTACGTAAGAGAATAATGAATATCATCCCATTAGTATCTTAAAAGAAAAGCTACACATAAAGTGATCGCATGCTTCAGACTTTGCCAATTAAGCGCCCAATCCTGTGATCATGCTTAAATTTAAGTTTATATTGGTGAGCAAAATGTGAGAAAAATAAAATAAAAATGTGTATAAAATATAGTCACCGAAAGATAGCACAATATCCAATTCTTTCATAGTATTCTAGAAGATTTGTCATCATCTCTATCATTGCAAAGTTGAGTGTCCCACGTGCAACAGAGGCAAAACCCAAGAGAGTCCACAGATTACCAGCATTTTCTACATTCAAAAGTAAAGTTCAACTTCATTATGTGGAAAATAATAAGCCAAAGTTTGAGAAAACCCCTAAATTATTTTGCCAAGCAAACCAGCATCAAACTCGGTTGGACACCTATTATGATTTTTCTAAAAAAAATCTAATAACTCGTAATGAGATAACAATAATAACTGGGGACAAAAAAAAACATAGATGTGCTTCAATCGAGATGTTGTTTGTGAATGTCACATTTAACATTTGTAAAATAAATAGGCACAATTTGATGATTTAATTTAATTGGAAATTGTTCTAAGAAATTAAATTTTTTAGATAACCAAAAAATCAAAAATTACAAATATTCTAATTTAACCATTTAACACAATAAAATCCAATTTCAAAATAAATAGAGTGAATTAATGAAAATTAAATATGAAGTACTTACTGGTATATTTTTCTCTGCAACAGTTAAAAAAAAAAATAAAATAAAAAAAATAAAAATAAAAATTTGAGAACCAATTCATAAGTTGCTTCATTATTTCTTCCCAGCTCATCTATCCAAAAAAAAAAAAAAATCAATCAATAAATAAATAAATATTTTTTGCATGAGCAAAAAAATATACTATAAATAAATGTCCCAACTAAATAGTAATTGAAAAGGAAGTAAAGTAAAGTCATCAACCTTTAGATTATTGCGAAGATCATCCCACTGGAGTAGAGAGAGAAATTGTAACTTACTGAATTCTATTCTATCTAATTCTGATAAAAAATATATATATATGAGATATTTAAGTTTATGTTTATCCATTAACAATTCAACTAAACTAAAAGTTTATGTTTATCGAATCAAATAAATAAATAAATATATAATTAAGAATAAGTTTATCCCAAAAATGAAGCCACCGTTCCCTTAAAAATGACAAGTACACTTAAGACGACAACGTTTTCTTAAAATACATAAATAGTAAAAATTAAGAAACGATCCATTGCCAACCTTCTACTTACTCTCACAAGAAGCCCAAAGGCGGAGATAAGGCCTGACAAGTTCGGGCCATCGCAAATTGGCCCACTCATAATACCTATCATCTTAACCATAATATTTGTTGTGTAGTACATTTTGAAATCAATCCACTTACTATTATATAATGTCTACCTTTTTATTTTTAATTGTCCTCAAAATAAATGTAAAAGTAATATATATTTTTTGTAATATTTCCAATTAATCTTATCGCATTGAACTTAATCAACTTCGGAAAAGAAAATCATCACATTATGTGAACTGCTACGAACATATTTAGTAATTTATTCACTATCGATGCAATAAAAAAATATTAAAACTAAAAAGTTAGATTCCTACAAAAAAAAGTTTAATTTGAGACGGAGGGAGTATATACGAGTGAACTATAAATTACTATTTCTTATTTACGCTAGCCTCAGTTCTCAATGTAAGCTAGGCAAAATCGAAATTGAAGTAATAATGAAATGACTAGCATTAATTTGTAAACAATGTTAATGCTACATTTAGTAACATAAATTACAAGTTTTGAAGTGAAAATTTGGAAGAGTCAAAATTTATTATTACTATTATTATTATTAACTTCAATTTTTTTTTTAGTCAGGCAATGGTTAGTAATTAATTGAGAGAGGAGAACCTAGAATCAATAAAATAAGAGCACTTTTTTACACTCAGGCAATACCACTCTACCTCTTTAATGTCTATTTCAAAGATGAAAGATTCAATTAATACATTTTTTTTTTAATTTCTTTTTCCTATTTCCTTAAATACGATAGGAATTAAAATTTTAATTTTTTTAAAATTCTCCTTTGTATATATATACCATAGATACATTGTAACGACCCATTCAGTTGCCCTGCTGGCCTAACTGATGAGAAGCAAAAGGTGTGGAGGTCATACAGCGAGACAGTTCTCTCTGTGTTGAAACACCAGTTGGGGTTTCAATGTCTTTGAATCGTGTTTGTCGGGGTTATGCTATTGAAATAGTTGAGTGGACTTTAGAGTTCGATTTTGTTGTTCTTGATATGACGGGATTTGACGTCATTTTCAGGATGGACTGGTTGTCCTTCTTTCATGCCACGATCGATTGTTTCCACGGGAGGGTGACTATTTGCACTCCCAAGGGAGATTGTTTCCATTTTGTGGGAGATCGGAGCGATTCCTACCCTGCAATGGCGTGCAGCATTGGCGACTAGGGTCGCCACCAGTCCTTCTTGGCCAGTCT